AGAACAGAGCATAATTATAATAGAATAAAATGTATTAATAAAATATGTATATGTACTAAGAGAAAATAAAGTAGAAAGCAGGAAATGCAATGATAAAATATTTCTCTTTTCCCCCTTTACATTTACAAAGCTTAGTTTTATGATAGAAAGCTGATAAATGCTAAAATATCTTTTAAAATATTAGCATGCTATAGTTAGTGTATTACCAAACTCATCAAGGATCCTGCTGTTTGAGTTTGTTATGAGAGAGGATTTATTTTGTGGCAGGATGTACAGCCACCTGTACCTAAGTATTTCCCTAGCGCCATCCCAGAGAGAACAAAACAGAGCCCTCATCCACCTCTGCAAATCATTCCCTGAAATGCCCAGGGCAAGGAGAAACTCACAGCAGCCTGAGGCAACTTCCTTCTGGGTCAGCCAGGTAAGAACTCTTCCCCCACATGGTTATCCTACTTCAGCCAGCAGCAACCAGACTTGTAACTGCCCCTCAATAACCCCTGCAGCAGTTAATAAAGCTGCCAGTGCAATGTGCAGTTTGATAACCAGCAGCACAAACACAATTAACCTACTAAGGCAAAGGTCCTCCAATGCTGTCAGGCCTATGAGAAGCCAGCAAGGTTGGCCAGGGACTACAGCAGACAAGACCCAATGTAATTCTTGGGCTTTATCCCAAGAATCCTGCCAAAAAACAGGTCTTCTAGATCTCCCTTTTCTGATCCTTTCCTTTGGCTTGAGGCTTGCAAACAAGCCCTGACTGCCACAGAAAAGGAGCTTTCCTTCACATGTGGAAGGTCCAAACCTTAAAACCAATTCCGGCCTCTCAATATTTGGTAGTCTTAATTGCATTGGACTAGCAACCTCAGCAGAACCAAATCAGACTGGCCATGACAAGAAGGTTGCCAAGCCAGGGATGGGGATACTGGTGGAGTATACCTTCCAGTACAGCAGATGCTGCTCCTCAGAAAATAGGAGACATCCTCTCCTGTGCACTGTTGCTCTGACCCTTTGGTAAGCCCTCAGAGGAACCATCAGATGAAATCTTAAATAAATACAAATTGAAGGAAACAGTTTCTTTGACACCAGAGTCATTTGGGCTTGAAGGAGGGAAGTCAAGCAAATGGATTTACTTCTTAATATCTGCTACACAGTGTTTCCTCTCAGAAGTAAGTATGAAACCAATCTCACATTAAACTATTTGAAGCTCTGAAGACTCCTCACGTATTGTGTCCTATGGTTTATCTATGTTTAACCTGTATTTTTTACAGTCTCATTTGCAATATGTCACATTTCAGATACTGCCCATCCCATACACCAGGTACCTTACCACATATCTCATGCACCCCCATTCTACTGCCTCTGAGGAGCACCTCTGCTCCACCACAGCAGCTACCCGAGGGAGTGTGTCCGTCTGTCCTAACTCATGCAAAGGACCTCAGTGGGAATGGGTTTCTGAGCTGCAGGAGATGAATGCCATTTCTGCATTGGAGAAACACAATAAAGCATGGACTATAACAAAGGCCTGAAGTGGATTAGTTGCTCATATTTTAGTTGGTGTGAAAGACAGAAACCATCTCCCAAGCTAGTCATCTGTCTACAAAGGCACAGAATCTAGCTAAGAATTATTATTATTTTTCCTTGAAAAACTCAATGATCTGCAGTGGATGTTGTATTTGTAAATGAAATTTTATAATTGTTCTTTTCCCAAACACGCAATAAAAGAGCAAATCATAAAAATATAGGAACACTGTTGCTCATTTCCCCTCAGACCCCTAACCAGGTAATGTTGAAAATCAGTTTTGATATTGCTGAGATGTGCTCAGCATACAGGAAATATATGCATGACAAACACATGGGCTATTGAACAAAAATCCGTGAGCCACAGATAGGACTGTATCATCATTGTGGAGACTCACACTCTGCGCTGCTCTGTAATTAGTAACATTTACATGTTGGTTTGACTGAAAGCCTGAAACAATCATACAAATTAACACGGTGCCTTCATGGTCCAATGTATTCTACTGATACTTGAAATTTTATGTTCAAATCAGTTTGATAGTCTTTAAAAACTGTTGGTTTTTTTTTTTTCCCTTGCATAGGAAGAAAACATCTTCACGGAATTTTGCTTCTGTGTACTCAGCATGTGTTTAGAAACATGTAAACACTGTTTTTTTAATATAAGCAATAGGATCCTACAAGAGAAAAGACACTTGACAGAGCTACAATGGCCTTAAAAACAGTTCCTCTCATCAGTCTATTTGCTTCTCCCTTTCCTTCTGAGACTTGTACTTAAGAGCTCTCCTGTCATGAACATTAGGACACATTTTCATCACTGTGGCTTCTGTGTACTTTTTTGCCCCTTTCATTTTCTTACAAAATAAGGCCTAAGCTACAGTGACCTCAGCTGTTGATGAAAACTTTGTCTCCTCTATATGCAGTGAGAGTATAAGGCCCAGACAGGAAATCTGACAACAGGCAAAGTTGAGTCCAACTTGGCACTGGAAGCTAAAACAAAGGCAAGCTACCTGAGGTCATTATAATGAAGGAAAAAAAGAGACATAAACATCACTGCTGGGGCATGCTTACACTGTTTACTGGCAATTTCACCTTACAAATTACAAAGGAGAAATGAGGTCCCAGGTAGGGACTCAGAACTGATACTGGCAGTCGTATGACTTGTGCCTATGGTTGCTATGATGTCAGATGGTGTGCACAGTGAGCCAAGCATATGAAACATATGCATACATTAGCAGTTTATGTTCCTGAAGCCCACAGTTGCCATGACCATTACTTCCCTAGCTGAGATCACTGTTTGGAGTGTGCAAGGCAATGTCATCCAGCACTGTGTTCGGTAGAGCAGATCATGGCTGCTGAGCTAACAGTCATGGTATATAATGGCATTCTTTCTACGGAAATAATTGGATGACCCTATAAGTACAGCCTGCTGTTATTGTCAAAACAAAATCTTCTCACATATGCCCATACGTTGTTTGCTTTGCCAATGTTGAAGTGTCTTCAAAATAAACCATAGCCTGATCTTCCACCCCAACAAAATGCCAGCCAGCCACCAGCGATGTCTGTACAGATCCGAAAATGAAAAGCCACGAAATGACTCAGTGTATTAGGTCACTGTGACAGCCAGGAGGTAATACCAGAGGATTTACTTTGGCTGGAGCCTGCCTTGGCTCATCTTCACTTGCGCTGTCAAAGCCAGGCTCTCATGTCAAAGCCAGGCTCTCATCTCAAGCCAATGAGCTATAGCTTGCCCACTTCAGCAACAGTTCACCAGGTATCATGTAAATAACAAACTCAAACAGAGTTTTTTGAAATGAAATTATAACTCATGAATAAAAACCAAAATGATTCCTGTCCCTGACTGTAGGGAAGCAGAAAAACAGATTCACTTTACAGTTATTGGAGTGTTTGTCCTCACAGCTGTCCTGTGATGCTGGGATACTTTAGCAGTGCCTAACATCTCTATAGGTTTTGTATTTAGAGGAATATCCCTAAAAATATTGTGCAGGGCAATGGATTTATAAGCTTGCTGAGAAATTTCAGCCCATATTACAGAGTGGATGGCAGCTATCCCCACCTTCCTCATGGGGATAATGAGAAGATGGGCAATCCTTTAAAGGTTGCATAACTTGGCTCCAAAGTGTAAAATGATGGCGAAGATCTAAATTTCCATGTATTGAACAGGAGAGTTACTCAGAGATAAGAATACAGACCATAGTTATTGCAACCCAGGAAACATTAGTGACTTTCCTGGAATTCCCTTCCAAGACCAAAATGATGGCTTCAGGGTAAATGTTTCTGAACCACACAAACATCATACATTTCTAATCAGGATTGGCTTTATTCTATCTGAATGATAGCTTCATCTTTTAGGAACCGGCACATATAAGCTTTTGTATAAAGTAAAATTAAACACTGTGAATGTGGTACTGTTCTGCAGTGATACAAGTTTTTTTTTTCCTCCTGAAATTGCATTCCACATATTTTCATGCTTTTTTCCACTTTTTCACTGTAAAATGACCGTTCTCTGTCTTTGCAACACAATTATTTACTTTGAAAATGTATTTCTTGAAACTCAAAAGTACTTTCTGGTAACCTGAAGTACGATGAAATGGCAGTTGCAGTAACAGTGTAACTGAGGTGACTCACATACCAAAGAAATTAATTGATCACTTCTAAAACATCTGCTTTATGATATGACAGTAAGGACTCCAAAATTAAAGTAAAAACATTTTAAATGTGAGTTTCAAGGAAAAGTAAAGTATGAAATACTAAATAATTACGGTTAAATGGAATAAAAGCATTGAGACAGAATGTTTTCAAACACAATGGGCAGTTGTTTTCTGCTTGTCTAAGTGCAATAAAAAAACACCATTAAAGTGGAAATAAAAGACGGGATAAATGTGACAAGCAGTCCTATTGCAGAAAGGGATGAATAAGCATGCAAATCAGGACAACTGAAAGCTTTCCAGTGAGCACTGCTCCAGGAAAGAAAACCAATAGGCAAAGCAGGGGATATACAGAGTCCAGGCAGAGAGAGCTTTGGCTGAGACTTGAGCAACCCCCCTGATATGTGCAGGGTCCTGGGCCATCTTGAGTCTCTTTCCAGTATTACTGACCTTACAGATTTCTCCCTTGAATGTTTGTATTAAAGACTGTAATTACACTCACTGTATTTGCTTGCTTTTTTCTGAACTAATTCCCTTGTGATTGCTCTGCACCTCTTTCTGAGATCAGAAGTCCCTTTTATCAGTTCTGACAGGTTTGTAATTTCTCTTGCTTCACTACCTGATATAAAGATGGTAAATAAAGCAGTACTTTCAACTGTGACTGTCTTGTTAAACACCAGCTAGCACTGCTCTCTCCTTATAATCCTTTGGCTTATATTTGCATGTCACAGTCTCCTGAGCCCTGTGATGGACAACCTAAAATGTATGGATAAAGAGAAAAATAGATATAGATATAGTAAAAAAAGATGTTTAATTTACCTGTAGTTCTCCTTCCATTATACTGAGGAGTTTTATCAAGTCCTCTTTAGAAAACTCTATGGACTTCTTGTTCTTTCGTTCACTAGGTCCAGGTGATTTTGAGTGCCGTTTGACAGTTGCTGAAACCATGACCTCATCTTCCTTCCGATGAGGTTTGTTCTTTTTCTTGGCATCATCCTGGAGTTTTTCGTTCTCTGCATGGCTGATGACAGGCCTGGAACTGGACAAGTGCCCGTTAGACGAGCTTTCTCTGCCTTGGTTTCGGGATCTCATCCCTACCTAGAAAGAAATAAGCATTTTATAAACAAAATTACTCACAAAAAAACCGCAGCAGAAATACTGTCTCTTGGAAGATCAACAATCTCATAAATACTGAAATACACTGTTATACTCAAGGGAAGGGCACAGAACTCTCAAACATCTCAACGATTTTGTGTGTGGCAAACACTGAATCCAAAGCATTGGTTATAAATTAAGACAGTCCTAAAGTAAGGGTAACCATGTTTGCCAGTATGTCAAGACATTGATGTGAGTTACAATGTATGGAGCATTAAGTGTTGCAGGAAGATGATAAAGAACATTTTCCACAGTCTTTTTCCAAAAGTCAACAGTTTGATCATTCATAATCTATCACTATAAAATAAAAGTTGTAGTAAGTCTTATTTTAATGTGAGGTTTACTTGAGAGACAAGAATGCAATTAAATTGTTTAAAAGCATATTTCTTGAGTATAAATTCTCTATGAGAGAGTGCAGTGACTACCTGATGACAATGGTCACTCTACAGTCTCCTTCTGCAAAGGATTGGTTTTATTGGTTATATTAGAGGTAACTAAGAAAACTTGGGAAGGCAAACTCCATCTTAGGCTAAGTACTGTCTGAGGTTGTTAGGCTACAAATGCCATGAAACAAACCTGAAAAGAAGTCTAGATTGAGAGCACAAGAGGGCATGAAAACATTAAGAGGTAAATGGCAGAATCAGAGCAGTCCTTCCAGAAAATTAGTTTTTCTCCAAAAAGTCAGGTCTTGGTTACTGACCTCTCACAGCTCTGTTCCTTTAAGCATCTACACTACATACTGAGCCTATTTCTATCCTAGGACATCAAACAGTGACAGTAAATGTTCCTGGGCTTTGGTACTGGAGCTTCTTTATCACCAAATTGTTGGCAGCTCCTTGGCACACTTTTGGTCCAGAAGAATCACCACTGTTCCAACCAGCACCTGGCCCAAGCCAAGGACTAGTCCCAAAGACCATCCAGCTGCAGCCACTCTGTCCCAATAGAGAAGAGTTTAGTAGTGTGAGCAGAGACAGATTATGCTATTGGACCTCACGGACAGAATGGGAGCTTTGGGATCATTTAGTTTACAAGTAACATAATGTCACATAAAACACAGCTGCTAAAATCATCCTTTGTATATCATCTTCACCAAACAACAGTCTTCTTGGATCCCATTAGCAAAATCAAATCAAGCCCTTCAGATCTTTTCATAGTTCTCTTTCTTACCAGTAAGCCCTTTCCAAGTTAACATATATGCAACACATTCAACGGAAACTAGATTAATCTGCCTGTTTTCTCCTCCAATGAAAATGTCTTCTTTTTCTTCTCCCTTGACGGTGAAGACTTGACCAAGAAGGTTGACATTCCTTAAAGGCCCATTTACCCTGTAACTTTTCATCCTTGCCACTGATTAAAAATGGCACAGAAGACAGTAGAGATTCATCAGTGTGTATTTCAATATTTATCAATATTAAAAAGATGTACAAAACATACTCAGACATATTTGTTCATGGATCCATATTTCAATTCTGTCACCTTCCTATCAAATAATAGTTATAATACATCTAGGACTGTAATTGTCCTGTCATTATTGTCTGTTAGGCAGTCTTGATCATTGCTTGGGCTCAAGCTATTTCTGCCATACAAAATAAAAGGCAATAGTGAGTTTAGGCTTGGTTCAGGATCAAAGTCAAAGGTAAAATGTAAGGCAGTGCGAATTTAAATTAAGCTGGTTTCCTAAAAAGTCTTATTTGAAATGGCTTATATAACAGTCAAGGGAGACTATCAGAAGTTCACATTGCCTTACTCCAATCTACTTCAATATGGTCACATCTTCTGCAACCTTAAGGGTTTTGTGTTTTTTTTTTTAAAGCCAGTTGACCTAAGATAATCAAGAACACTAAGAAGGCAAGATTTGTGCAGAAAAGTATCTTGTTTTGGATCAACTACAGTCTGAGTTGCTGGAGCAAAACAAAGAAAAGAAAGCTGAGGAAGGGCCTGTATGCCTGAAACTTGCCTAGTTTTCATATCAGTAGATCAAATGAATAATATTCCTTTGCTTCCAAATCTTTCCTTTCACTTAAATTCACCTCTGGATTTAGTTTGCAGCTTGTATGTTAGTCAAACAGATGCTCCTCAACATTGTTAACGTCACACACTTCGCTGATAAGGATCTCAGAGCAGCAGATTGGAGCAAATGGAGCAAACCCTAAAATAAATTGACTAATCAGCTTGGCTAATGTTATGCTGGGCTTGTTGCAGCTTGCTACTTATTTGACTCAGGCCAGTGTTATAAATCTCTTGCTCAGATTAGCTTTGTATTTTGGTAGTTTCACACTCAGCAGGAAGATAGGATTTTTATTATCATTGGTTACTCATGCCTTTACTTCATTAACTTAATGGAACTCAGCCAACAGCCTAAGCAAGGAGCGAATTTGACCCAAAGTTTTAGAGTGCAAGAGTTTCATGATGAGATTCCTTGCATTGTAGGTCTGCTCCTATCCAAACAGTGGGGGATACAGGTACACAATGGCCTTTCACTTCCCGAATGCTTGTGTAGTGTGTTTTTCATCAAATAGCTTGGATTAAACACATAAATTACACTTTCTAAAAACAGTTCTCCATTATAGCCACAAACAATACCTGAGAACCACAGGAAATCTTTTAGGTCTCAGGTTTGTAATGGAAAAATAAACATTGTACTATGTTTCCTCTCAGATAGGGACTTTCAATTTGTTTAACTTTAATGGGTTTTTAACTTTCCAGCCATACTTCCTCTCAGGAGAGAGCACTTGGGATTCAATCTGTCTGTATTTTCTGAGTATTTCCTTTTGAGTCCCTGTGGGCCACAGCCTCCAGCTACTTTCATCTCTTAACCATGGCTTATTTTTCATGGATTACAGTGAATGGCCTTGTGGCTCTAGAACATCTTACACGTTTTAAGAATGAATATTGCAAGTCTCTCTTACACATGTTTTCCACTGGAAAACAGATTATTTCATTGCACTGCTTGGTAACACGTTGCGTTAATGATCCCTCTGTAGAAAGATGACTCAGCCTGAAGGTGCACAAGAGAATTTAAATTTAACTCATTACTAGTTGAGATACAGCATAATCAACTATCTGCGCTGAGCTGCCTATGCCAAACTTCATGTAAACCAGTGTGTCACCCTGTCACACTGTAACTCGGGACAGCCACTTTAATCCACCTGTCCCCATGGGAGCAGAGATAGCAATTCATGAAGCTTTGTAAAGACTGAATAGTAGACTACAGCTTTGTAAGTACGCCAATGAAGAAACGGCAAATACATATTGAAAGTGTGCTTTAACTCAGTGCAAATCAAGAGAAGTCCACGAGGACAAATGACAATTTGTGTTTTTTTCAAAAGTCATGAATGCAGAGGCACAGTAGCTTAACCAACTGTATGGAGTTTTGCTCGTTAGATTATGATTGTCACTAAAGAAATCAAACCTTTGTAATTCATAAAAGTTATTTGAAATTTGTAGATTTATTTTGCAGCAAGTCTTACGTCACACTAAGTGTGTCAGTGTGCTACTCGGGGACACTGCCCTTAATAGCATTACTTTGTATAAAAGCTTGTCAAAATCAGGGCAATGACCACAACTACTCTTGTCTTCAGTTATCAGTGTGGATACTTTTCTGATCTTATCCAAACACAAAGGTGTTGTATACTGAAACCGGAGATGCAGGTGAACTCAAGCCTAAACAATGACAGGAAAGGCTGGAATTCACATAGTAATTTCCAAGGAGTTTGGGGATCAAAGTCAATGGCATGATCCAGCTGGTCTGCAGTGCTCTAGGACTACAAAGCAGCTGTAAGACTGATTTCTAATTAGAGCAGTGTGAAGCAGCCAGAACACACCAGTGATCTTGGCTGAAATACAGTGTTTGGGAATGAGGCCCAATATTATCATTCTGGATATCCATCTGCATTTCTGAAACCATCAAAAACATGAAAAGTTTCTGACCAGTTGCACAACATTATTTTGGTCTCCCAAACTTGGCAGATTTGTTGTTTCACCCCAGTATCCAATTTGGTACTGGGGACACTGCCTGTCTAATGATGCTAACAAATGTTCTCCTGCTGTCCACCCTGATCACATCTCTGTGTCTTACAGCATTCCTAATTTGCTAAAGGTATTGTGATCCCTGAAGAAATAGCTGGTATGATTTATAAAGACTTTAGCATTTAATATTTAATTCTGCTGCGGTTTTTTTTTTCCATCCTTCCTCATATTGCACATTAAACTGGAAATCTTTCCTAATAGTCTCCAGTCAAACAAGAAGGCTTTATATGATCAGTCACCTTAATTTCGACACTTACTGGCTACTCATTTCAATATGTTCTCACAGCATTGGCACTTGGCAGGGGAACTCTTCAGTCTCTCTTATGCTTCCCTCGTCTGTTAAGCTATAAGCATTAAAGACAAATGCTATGATTATTTACTTGAGTCTGTATTGTTGCTTTGGGCACAAATCCTTCAGTTTTCACAAGTTAGCAATCCACACAAAATTTTATGAAATAACCTTTATGTTAGTTTTACTGACAGAGGGAGGAAATCTGTGAGGAATTTGCTGAGTAGGATGTCAAGAGAGGGCAGTCTGCTTGCTGTTCCAGACTTTTCCCCCGTCGACAGCAGTTTGTTCTCCCCACAGCTCTTTAAATGATGGGTAAGATTAGGCTCCGTTATCTGTGCTGTTAGAATCAGAAAATGTATAAAGGTTCTTTGAACTTAACATGTAGTCCATCCTGCTAACTGGACATGCTGACTTTGGCTTGGTAGTGCTTTCTCCAAGAATAATAATAACAATAAATAATAATAAGAAGAATAAGAATAAGAATAAGAATAATGTTGTAATAAACAAATAATGTTGATTTACAGCCATGATATGGCTGTTGCCTTTGGCTGCAAATTTGTAGTCTGCAGTTCAGTTGAAGATCTAACTGATTAAGATATCACATGAAAGTGTTGGGTTTCTG